TTAAGACATCAAATGATTTCATTTGTATGCCTAGTGTAGTATCTTTTTTCCATATCATTCTTGTAGTCTGTCATTTTAAAATTCACTTTTAGATAACTATCAATCTTTCTAGTAAAACCTGTTCCTCTTATATCACATCTTCCAAACACTGTCTATCATGACAGATGCCCTTAAGTTTAACATCTGGATCTATTGTTCAAAAATATAATTTAATATATCTAATGCTCTATTTTGCTCCACTCTGTATTAGTAAGTCAAATTGAAGTGTTCTTTTTCTTTAATTGGAATCTTTAATTCCTTCTAGTTCCTTCTAATATCCAACTTTCAAAGTTCCATCCTTTCATATTTTTTTAAAGAATTCAAAACATGGGAAGATTCTTATAATTAATTCAAAAATCAAATCCATCTGGGCCTTTAATCCATTTATAACTTTCTAAAATCAAAGTTCTAATCAACCTTTTGCTGTTTATTTCAAAAGATTTTTTTAAAGTCCTTGAACTTTAAAAAGAAATTTAAACTTCTTTTACTAATGATTGGAAGAAACTCACCCAGTGTCAATCTAAAGGTTCCTAATAGCTGAAAAGCAGTTCACAAGCAATTTCCGAAAGCGATTAGAAAAAGAAGTATGTAAATCCGGTGTCCTTTGAAAAGGAACTGACTGTGGTGTGAGTGAAGATGGTGTTATCTCCTCTCCCAGAATTTTAAACCCACTGGAGCTCACTGTCAGGAGCACTTGTGGGCAAACTCAAGTTCTCTTCTTGTCCAGAAAGGAATTCCAAAGAGCTGGTCCTCTCACCAGCATTTCAGTCTACCACAGTCACTGGCTCTGTTTTTCGCAGAGCCATCTTCAGTTCACCATTTCTTCTCTGAAAGTGTTCAAAATAATTAAATACTCATAGTGGCTATTAACAGTAACAAAATAAATGTTCTGTCACAATGGACACAGTGATTTTTGGTTATTGATACTGTCTCCTGGATCATAATTTATTTGAACATTCATCCTAATAATTTGTATGCTGGACAACACAGAACTAAAACTGAATCTTTGGAGCAGGGGAGGGTTCGTTTATGTTGTCTTGTAATCTACCCTTGGGGTGACAATGAATTATTTAGAAAATCTGGGACTGAGATAGGAGGTATATTAGAATGCAAGGCAGATGTTGAAGTAGAAGGGTTTGTGGCTTAGAGCAATATATATGAAAAGTAAACGCTTGGAAATAGATATTTTTTAGCGTATGCCATGTGTAAGCTATCTGGAAAGAAAAATGTCTTTTTTCTACTTTAACTGTACTCTTTTGTAATATGGATTTACAGTACAATAGATTAAAGATTTTTTTTCTTGCTTGGTGATAATCTTTCTTGCTTTCAGTCTGTATTTTTTATGTGCTATCTGTAACTCAATGCCTCCAGGGCATCCCCCATCTCTTTAAAATCCTGATGATTCTAAGCACTTTACTTAAATCCTGTTTCCTGATGATTCCTAAACACTTTGCTTACAGCCGTGTACCGCACAAGTGTACAACCTGGGACCATATCCAGACTTCCAAAGCCTTGGTTGCAGCCCTTCAGAAGCCTCCAAAAGTTATTACTGAATTTTAACTTTTAATATGACAGCTGTATATCCAATATCTCAATATCTCCAATATGCCACAAAGAAGAGGGAGTCAAGCTATTCTCCAAAGCACCTGAAGGCAGGACAAGAAGCAACGGATGGAAACTAATCAAGGAGAGAAGCAACCTAGAACTAAGGAGAAACTTCCTGACAGAACAATTAATCAGTGGAACAACCTGCCTCCAGAAGTTGTGAATGCTCCAATACTGGAGGTTTTTAAAAAGAGACTGAACAGTCATTTGTCTGAACTGGTATAGGGTTTCCTGTCTGAGCAGGGAGTTGGACTAGAACACCTCCGAGGTCCCTTCCAACTGTATTATTATT